GTAGAGAATACTTGACAGTGTCAATGTTTCATAAGATGGGGTTTTAAAATGGTCACTAGATTTTCAACATGGATACCACTGATGACTCTAGCAAGGTCCACTTTAATATAGCAACGAAGCTAGAAGCCAGAATAGAGTGTGAACACATTTGAAAGCTCCATGAAGGCAAGCACCTTGTTTCTCTCATTCATTTTCAGCACTTTGACACATGGTAGACACTCAAATTTATTTGTTGAAAGAAATGATAAATGACGGGAAGAATCCAGTATAGTGGAAAAGTATGTAGATGTGAAAGAAAAAGAGGGGCATAACAAACAACGTACGGTTCTTGAGAAAGTAGAAGGCAGAGATAACAGAGGAATTCCTTTCTAATGTTTCCTGTTTTCTCCATTAAAGTGGGAAGCAATGATATCCACTGAATGTGAAGACAGAAATGGGGAATTCAGAGGTTTTAAAATGAAAGGGTTTGCCTTTGTAGAAAGTAGAAACATACTGGTCAGAGATATCATGGAACATGCACAGCTTCCCAATGTTGGAATTGGCTTTGCAGATATTATTACAAACTGGCATGGGCAAGTCCTCAGTATCTGTTCAACAAACTGACATGCTGAGAAGAGGCTTGTTATTACCTCTTCCCATTTGACTCACATTTGTTAATTCTGCCTCATCAGCCGCATGAAAATGTTAACATGTGGCAGAGAAACCACACATGTCTTGATGGGAGACACTAAGAAGGGCCTAGCACCACATGCCAAAGTGTATAACCTGAATCTAGTCATAAGCAAACAGCAGACAAAGTCAAATGGAGCAATATTCCGTCTCCCAAACTGTCTATGTCATGAAAAAGGAAAAAAGGTCTGAGGAACTCGTCAAGAGAACATTTAACTGGCAAAATGTGAGTAAGTTCTCTGCTTTACACAATATTATTGAACTTATTAAATGTGCTTATTTTGACCAAGGCACTCTGGTTATGTAAACAGCCTTGATCTTGAGAAATATACAATGAAGTATTTAAAGGTAAGGGAGCATCATGTCTGCAACTCACTCTCAAATAGCATGTGTACACATGTGCATGTGTTTATGTTGGAGAGAGAGAATATGATAAAGCAAACGTGACCAAAGGTTAACAATTGCTGCATCTGGTTCTTCATACTATTCTTGAAATTTTTCTGTAAGACTAAAATTCTCCTAAGATGCAATTTTAAAGTCTTTGTGTTCACCCTTCTCTCCACCCTCCACTGCCAACCTCAACCCAAGGCCAACTCACTTTATATTCTTTTGAAGGAATGAATAAATTCTGAAAGTGGGTTATCAAGCTCTTCTATTTCAACTAGTTTCCATTTCTTACACGTAAAATTTTATCCTGTATACATGCATGTTGCTATGGTAGGGAACATAATTCAGCCTCATTAGAGTTTCCTTAGTTACGGTGCTTTTTGTTATAGAATTAATGACCTACCTTCTCTCACCCTTTAGCTGATGATGACTGCTATCTTTATTTCCCCCATATAGCTTAACCTAGCTTGTTAGTTTTTGTTCAAGTCTTTAGGTTTGCAGCTTGCCTTTAATACGATCCTACTATTGTTTTTTCCTAATCCCAAGACCTATCTATCTATCTATCTATCAAGACACAGTGTTGCTCTGTTGCCCATGCTGGAATGCAATGGTGTGATCTTGGCTCACTGCAACCTCCGCCTCCTGGATTCAAGCAACTCACCTGTCTCAGCCTCCCAAGTAGCTGGGACTACAGGCACATGCCACTACGCCCAGCTAATTTCTTGTATCTTAGTAAAAACAGGGTTTCACCATGCTACCCAGGCTGATCTCAAACTCCTGAGCTCAGGCAACCCACCCGCCTTGGCCTGCCAAAGTGCTAGGATTACAGGTGTGAGCCACCGTGCCCAGCTGGCTTTTATTTTTATAGGTGCTTACCCTGTTTATTTTTGTCCATACAAATGTTTTATGTGGACTACATCCCATTTCTTCTTTGTCATGTCACTCGTTGTTTTTCCCTTTAGTACTGTGTTGTTCCCCCAACAAAATCATTAAGGTCTAGGACAGCAGGAGCCATGACCTTATTATTCCATACAGGTATCCATAAATTTCTTGAAGAATCATTTTATAGAATGATCCCTTTAAAATGTGTTTAAAAACCAGTCTTACCTAGCCCACTGGAACTTAATCTAATTGCACTAATTGCCTTATCATAAAAAGCATTGAAATGGTCACATCCCTCTCCCTCCCCAACTAAAATTATGCCTTTAACAGAAAAAAAGAATTTACTCTTTCTCACTTGTCATTCTTTACTACAGCTTGGAATTCTTTTCCTATTAAAGGGACTTACAGTTATTATTCATTGCTCACTTTTTCTCTGAGGTTTGAAATACAGAGCCTCTGTTAGACTCAATTCTTTTTTTTTCCCATTTATTTACTTTCTTGAATATTATTTTTAATTGGCAAATCATAATTGCATACATTTATAGGGCACTAGTTCTTAAAAGGCTGTTTGGAGACAAATGTGAATGCCAGCTCAGTTGGGCAATTATTTTTCTTCAGTTGTACTCTTAATCTCACTACTGTAATTTTTTGGGTTTTTTTGAGATAGAATCTCACTCTGTCGCCCAGGCTGGAGTGCAGTGGTGCGATCTCAGCTCACTGCAACCTCCGCCTCCTGGGTTAAACTGAATTCTCCTGCCTCAGCCTCCCCAGTAACTGGGATTACAGGCACCCACTACCATGCCCGGCTAATTTTTACATTTTTAGTAGAAATGAGGTTTCACCGTGATGGTCAGACTGGTCTCCAATTCCTAACCTAAAGTGATCTGCCTGCCTCATCCCACTAAAGTGCTGGGATTACAGGCGTGAGCCACCATGCCCGGCCTGTAAATATTTTTGAGATCTCAAGTGAGAGACCTGATGTGTCCTCATTGTTAATCCTTTGAATGTTGTCTGCCCTTCAACTTAGATATTTAATATACTCTCTCCTTGTCCTTGAGAGTTTTACAAATAAATGCTTTTGTGTCTTTCTTTTGTTGTTCATTTTATAGGTGGGACATAGCTTTTATTGCATATTCTAATATTTGTTCAGGTAGGATCTCTATACTCTAGACTCCAAATCTATTTTGTGTTGAATTATTTGCACTTGGCTCCTTAATCATTTCATAATTTAGAGTTGATTTTTTCAGTTACTTTCTGTGATATCCCTTTTTTTAAAATTGCTATAAAGATTAAAATTCTCCCGCTACTGTTTCTGCTGCATTACAAACTCCTACCCAGGTTCTTCTTTAATGGCCGAGATCTTCTGCCCTGAGAGAATTCAGTTATTCTGAAGTCTGAAACTTACTGGGCGCTCTGCTTCAGGGAATTATAAGGTTTTCTCCCCCTAAATTCATAGGGAATTTCTTTCTACCACCAAATTTTATGCATTTATTTTCCATTCTAACGTATTGCTATAGTGACAATAATTGTTCAGGAATATATGTGTCAAACTTTTCTTCATTAGTAGTTGGTACTTCGTTCTTTCTGGCTGATGGCACTACCATGGGAAAAATTTGAGGCCAATCTGATTTCAGTGTCGACAGTGACAAGAAAACAAATCAGACACTGAATTTATTCAGTGATATTAAGGCTTTACAGGAATAGATTAATAGCTATAAAAACAACCTTTACTGGGACATTAGTGAACCAATTAAAGAATCTGAATAAGGTCTGTAATTTAATATAGAACTTGCCATTCGTATCACAGTGTAGATGAACATAGAACTTGCTATCAATTTAAATAATAGTATATGAATGTTAATTTCCCAATTTTTATAAATATACTGTGGTTATGTAAGAGAATTTGTGTTTAGGAAATTCATACTGAAGAGTAGGGGTAAAAGGTACCATGTCTGCAACTTAGTCTCTAATACTTCAGGAAAAAATTATCCTCAGACATATACACCTATATACCTATACGCAGAAAGAGAATGATACTGCAAATGTTACAAAATTTTAACATTTGGCAAATCTGGGAGAAGGTAGATTTGTCATCTCCCTTATTCTAAATCAGTATTTAACTGGAGGTGTTCAACATTATCCCCACCTAATACCTACTCTCAGAGGTTGTTATAGTAGGTCTGAGTTGGGATCTAGGAAAGATTAATTTGGGGCAGATACATTTTATAAAAGCTTTCTCAGGTGAATTCTGAGACATATCCTCACCCACCCAAGACTGAGAAGTAATTCTCTATTTCTTAGGACCAGTCGTGTCTCATTAAAGTCTGGGACTGCACCACTGATGATTTTTTGCTATTCGTATCACAGCTATCAACCCAAACCCGTATGACTAGTAGTAGCACAGTGGAAAGAGCAGACTTGGGAGTCAGACCTCATTTCTAACCTCAGCTCTGCCACTTACTTAACTCACCTAAGTCTCTGTTTACCCTTGTGTACAATGGGAGAAAATCTCTAACTCACAAGTTACCACAAGGATTAGAGAAGAAAACATTTGTAAACCATTAGCACATAGTTAAATGCTCATGAATATTAGTTCACTCTCCCCAAGTTATTCTCCTTCTTTCTGGAGAGGCAGATACAGACAAAAAAAAAAAAAAAACAACTATGCATCTCAAAAAGGGTAAAGGTAGAGAGAAAGCACTGATTAGAAGGGTAAAGGTGTATATTGAGAGCCCCCAATGGACTATATGTAAACAGCATTTGTAAAAATCAATTTTGCAAATTTTAAGTCTGCAGAGAGGGAGTGTCCTGGACAGTAATGATATTCAGCAATCAGCAATTTTTAGTTAACAGTTTAATTTTTTTATATCAACTGACATACTTATTAAAAACAATCAATATGACATAAATCATTACTTTTAATACACAGTAAAATAAATCAAAATAATAACAACTGCTGAAGGACAAATTTTGATTCAAAATAACCATACCCTACATAATAAAGAAGGAAACATGATATTAATTTTTGAGAATAATAAACATTGCAACCCCATAATACTTACCAACATGTGATGGCCAAACAGTTATATGAGGATGGGAATGATACCAGCCCACGACTCTCATAGGGCGACCTGTCAGTTCAGCCAACCTGTGTGTCTGTCAAGGTACTTTCAAAATGTGGGAACAAAATTTCTCATGCTAATAAGGGCTCAGAAAGCACCCTGAAGTTTAAATAAACTCACTGCAATTTAATGGCAACAAAAGGATGAAAGAAGGTTCATGCTGAGTTTCCCATAATGCCCGTTTAAAGCCAAAAAAAGTTAAGATAGAATCTATAGTTATCCTGTAAAATGTGGATTCGTTTTTCTGAAAATTACTTATATTAAAACATAATAATCCTTTTTATGCAAGTAAGTCTGAGAAACAATATTTCTAGGATATATTTTCAAGTTTTCAAATGCCAAGAGAAACTACTTTCCTTGCATTCACTCCACACGATTCCTAAAACATTTAATGAACAATCATCCACATAAGGTGTTTAGCATAGTGCCTGGCACCTAGTGCTTAACAAATAGTAATTGCAGCAGGGCAGAGGTCCTGAGAGGAGAGCTGCACAGATATCCTCTATATCCGCACTTGAGTATTCAGCAGATAACTGATGAGCGGAAGCATGTGTGGCCTATTGGAGGCCAGGGAAAGGAAGCCTCAAGAAAATAAAAGGTAACTCTGCCCAGCACTCAAGCAAGATGGGGATCAGCTTCATATTCACTTAAGAGGCACTGGCCAGGGCATTCTGAATCATACAGAAACAAATCACAGGAAACAAATGCCCCATTTTTGATCATTTGGGGTTATATTTAACATGAAATATTGCATTCAGTTCCCAACATTGCATTTTTTGAGAGGAAGTCACAAATGAGAATCTCTCAAGAGGATAGAGATCAAGACAGTAAAAGGCCTAGAAATTAAATGATACTAGGAAAACTGGAAGGAGGGGCAGGGAGGAATAGAGAGAAGACTAGGGAGGAAGATTGAGGGGACTCTACACAGAGTTCATTGTCACAGTGTTTGACCCTGAGATCTTTTGGCATTTAGAAGCAGGAATGTCAGAAATTTCTAATTCTTACAATAAAAGCCACTCAAAAGGAGAAATAGAGAGAAATTCTAATAAACAAACAACTGGATCTAAGGGAAGAAAATTTATGAAACGACCTAAAGCAGGATGACTGTAGCGAGCTGACCAATGTGGCCCAGCAACCCCAGAGCACATAAAAGCTTCTATTGACCAATAAGGATATCTCTGCCTCTGTTGAAGCTGCAGACAGCTGCTCTGGAGAAATTTCAACTCGGTCCTTCCTCTTATCAGAACGTCTTAAGATGATGACAGAATGAATGTGAACAATTCTGACAGCGTCAACCTAAAGGAAAATCCACAAAAATGGTTACTTATGGCTCTCTCCAATAAAACAGCCCCATTCAACTATTGAATTGCATTTTATTAAAAAATCAGATTAAATATTCCATTTTAGAAAACTGACACTTTTCACATGAATACTGAAATGTTTCAAATAAAAGACACCCAATCTCAATATATACATTTCAGACACAAAAATATAAAATACATATGCTAATATTTAGATGAAGGAATGACTTTTAGAATGATCAACTAGTAATTATTTGACTTACAACTATGTACAAAACACTGTGTCATACAAAGGAACATAAATCAGAGTGCTGACAAAGGGTTCAATGTGCTGACGACATGGCTGAGTGGCAAGTTATTATTCATGAAACTCCACTAAGATAATGTAGTAAGTCAATGCCATAGGAGCTGATATGGCTGGGCTCTGTGTCCCCACCCAAATTTCATCTCACATTGTAAACTCCACATATCAGGGGAGGGACTTGATGAGAAGTGATTGGATTGTAGGGCTGGATTTCCCGCAGGCTGTTCTCATCATAATGTGAGAGTGAGTTCTTAGATCTGATGGTTTAAAAGGGTGGCACTTCCCCACTCACTGTCTCTGTCTCTCCTACCACAATGCAAGATGTGTCTTGCTTCCCCTTCACCTTCCACCATGATTATAAGTTTCCTGAAGCCTCCCCAGCCACATGGAACTGTGAGTCAATTAAACCTCTTTTCTTTTTAAATTACCCAGTCTCAGGGAGGTTTTTTTTTTTGGACACAGGGTCTCACTCTGTTGCCCAGGCTGGAATGTAGTGGTGTGATCTTGGCTCCAACCTCCACCTCCTGGGTTCAAGTGATTGTTCCACCTCAACCTTGCCAGCAGCTGGGATTACAGGCACACGCCACCACACCTGGCTTTCTGTATTTTTTTGGTAGCCATGTTGGCTAGGATGGTCTCGAACTCCTGACCTCAGGCCCGTCTCACATCCCAAAGTGTTGAGATTACAGGCATAAACCACCACGCCTGGCCTCGGGAAGTTCTTTATAGCAGTGTGGTAACAGACTAATACAGGAGCTCAGAGGAAATAACTCACTTATATTAGAAAAATAATCTACATAAGCAGAATATGAATCTAAAAAAGAAAAAAATCTACATAGAAAAGGCAGACAAATGTATCTATTCCTTGATTACTGTGGGAGAGGGGGCAACATGGAAGTAGTAAAGTGTGAATGAGGTGTCTGGGAGACAAGTTAGCCGACTGATTTGGATACAGAGCTTGAGGTGAAATGGCAGATGGCAAATCTAAGAAAGGTAGAGTGAGAATGCACAAGACCTCAAATGCCAAGCCATGATTTGCAGGATGAACTCGAAGGAAAAAAGTTATTTCAGATAAACTGTACATGAAGTAACAATTAAGTACTGGGCTAAGCAGATGGCAGAGATGGAAGAAACAGATGTGAGACCCATTAAAAAGAATGACTCTACAAGATTTGGTAGCTTATTGACCATGGGTGATGGTGGATAGGAAACTGGCAAAAACGACTCTAAAGTTTCAAAGTTGAAGCTAGGTAGAAGATGTGAGGCAGATCAAAGTTTAGAAAGGCTCAGGAAGGAAAGAAGATGAGCTTGTTTTCAGATGAGATAATCTAGGATGAGAGATATACAATATGGCAATTTTTAGCAGGCAAGTGGGATTATAGCTTAGACTCAAACAGAATAAATGCAGGAATCAATAAAGCTTTTATGAGTGGACAAATTAAGTGTGGAGAAAGGGAGCAGAGGTCTTGGCCTGAATCAAGAGGAGTGGCCACATTTAGGATGGGGAAGGAAAAGAAGGGCCAGGGAGGAAGACAAAGAAGGCAAAACCAGAACAATGAAATGGTACAAGACTGTCAAGGGAAAGAGTGGGCTTAGCATTATCAGATGCTGAAGGGACAAGGGTGAAATCTGAGAGGAGGCTTTTGAAACAAGCTATAGATTTTCACTGTGCAACATCGGTCTGATTTCAGATGTGCAACAAGTGTGAAACACATATGGAATTCAAAGATAACACAAAAAGGAAAAAAAAGAAACATAAAATATCTCAACATTTCTTAATATTCACTACATGTTAAAATAATAATACTTCAGATACTTAGGTTAAATAAAACGTACCATTCAAATTAATTTCATTTATTACTTTTTACTGTGATTACTAAAAAAAATAAAATTATGTATATAGATTACATTCATGGCTCACATTATATTTTTTTGTGATTTATTTTTGTTTTTGAACTAAATACTCCAATTAAAAAGATTATCACACTGGATTTTTTAAAGTATTTACCACTAATAAGAGACATATTTTAAATACTAGTACACAGAAAGGCTAAAAATAAAAGGATAAAAAATGCACTATGCAACACTAAAAAGGCAGCTTAACTAATAAAGTTTAAAATCTAATTTAGACAGTACAAACTGACATAAAACTCAAGACAAGGGCATGAAATCTTAAAAATAAAATTACATCATTAAGATTTGGAATGTGTCTTAGTAACTGACGTCCAGGGTGAATTGTATCTTTCTCTCCTTCTTGCTTTAGTCAGAAATTTCAGTGCCTAAGAGAAATGAGAAATATTTAATGCATAGACAGAGGAAGAAGAGGGGTCTATAAAGGAAAGGGGGAAACAGGAATAAAGGCAATACAGCAAAACCAAGAAAAACTCATGAGAATTCAGAGATTCAAGGAGAAAGATTAAGGTAAGCACCAGGAAATAATCCACAAAAAGTAGAATTAGAAACGAGACCTCAGTGGGTTTGACTAGGGAAAGTGAAAGAGTAGTAACTGTAGCTTATTCTTTTAAGAAGTCTGGCTATTAAAGGAATGATATAAGAGTAGTGACTACAGGAAGACACACGATTAAGAAGTAGCTTTCCTTTCTGAAAATAAGAGTAATTTACACATATTTTTATCCTGAGAGAAAAGAATCAGGTGACAGGGAAAAGGCCCAGAAAAGAAACAGAACATCTGATAAACAAGGTCTCTGAAAAAACTGCAGCTTTGGACAGGAAGATAACCTATTTCTCTGATATGGGAAGAGATGCAAAGTGATTAAGGTGGAAAAGTTTGTAAATAGTAGTAATAAGTAGATGAAGCTGTGGCCTGATAACATGGTGGGAGAAGGGGAAGTGATTCATTTTTATTGCATTTTACAAAAGCATAGGTCTATGACAGATTGGAGAAAAAATTAAGTGGTCCTATGCCATGATTAGGTTAGAAGCATTACACTAGACCATCAAGGCTAGAGCATGCCAGAAAAGGTGCTGGAGGAGTGCAGACAGGAAGAAAGTCAAGGTAGACTAAGAACTATGATGCTATGGGTAATCTGCCTGTTTAAGAAGAGAGGGTTGCATGAGTAGACGTTGGATAAAGAGGTAATAGTGATGTGAATGACATGCCAAAGTCTCAAGGAAAGTGAGAGAAGGGCCAGAAAACAGACAGTGACAACAAGGAGAGCAGCAAGAGGGTGGTACTGATAGTGATTACTAATCTTGCTCAAGTAGAAACAATATGCTACAAAGAACAGAAAATTAGGTCCCATTCCCAGTGAGTAGACTCTTCATCTGATTTTACTAGAAAGAATATCTCATCCAGCCAGAAACCAGATACTCTGGCTGAGATCACTGGATTACGGAAATCTTTCCCCAACTGCAAGTTTCCACCATGCAAAATTCTAGCACACATACCTTTTCAGCAACTGTGCGCATTTCAGTTCCAGTATATGCAAATTTGGAGTCACTCCTATTGGGAACAAATTAGAAAAAAAAAAAAGAAAGTGGAGTTTGGAATATAAAAAGGGAATTAAAGCAAAATAACCATTTTTTGCAATGAAATATTAGCAGAGACCAAAGAATAGGAGGGAAACAGCTGAGGCTAGAGCTGCACTCTATATCTGTTAGAAGCAATCTGGGACACATGCACAAATGGCTGAGTGTATAAAGTTATCATGGACAAAGCTAAATTCCTGGAATCCTGGGTATTAAGGAGGTGGGCTTGAAAAGTACACTATGGTACGATTTCAAGTTAAAATTAAAATGTTACTCAAAGGTTTCACCACCTCAAGCATTGAAGCTACTGGGGATTTCTGAAATAACGGTGAGGATCACCAGAAGAAAAGGCAATGCCACACTGTCGATTAACATGAAGGAATGGATCAACGGGGAAATGCCTGTATATGTTCTGTGTCACAAAGAAAATTACTGATATCTCATTGGAATTTCAGGGGAAAGAGAGAACATGAAATACATTGAGCAAGGCCAGACGTGGTGGCTCACGCCTGTAATGCCAACACTTTGGGAGGTCGAGGCAGGCGGACTGCTTGAGCCCAGGCGTTCAAGACCAGGCAGCCCAACATGGTGAAATCCTGTCTGTACAAAAAATACAAAAAGGAAAAAAAATAGCTGAGTGTGGTGATGGGCACCTGTAATCCCAGCTATTCAAGAGGCTGAGGAATGAGAATCGCTTGAACCTGGAGGTGGACGTTGCAGTGAGCCGAGATCACACTACTGTACTCCAGGCTGGGTGACAGAGTGAGACACTGTCTAATCCCCAAAACCCAACAATTACGATAATGCTTATTAAGATGTTTATCTCATATCTAAACTGAATAGGAGGTAAGGCAGAAACCAAAGTTCAGGGTTGGGGTGGAACTCAAATGGGATCATTGAGGGAGCCGCGGAGTCGTAAGACACGATCCAGACACAGTATTGCCAAAGTCGACATAATTTTGAGTTAACAATGACTAAGGCATTATAGGATATGAGTAAACAAATATAGTCTTACCTTGTATCATCGTTCAACTAGAGTGGGAAAAAGCAGAAAACATTATTGATTACATTAAGCTTGAGGTACGTGGATGCAGATTATATGACAATTCGGTCATGTGTTCATGTAGACGGCATGAAAGACTGGAGAATTACTTTAAATTGTAAACAGCTAAACTGTATTTCCTAATCCCATTTGGCCGCTCTGCAGCACAATGCAGTGGAAACTTTTGATTCCTTCAAGCCCCGAACCTTCTAGTTAGGCTCTTCGATAACCTCCAAATGCTTTGGTTCATATCTGTGCTCCCTAGACGGAGGACTAGAAGTGAGGCAAGTGGTTCTAACTGTGGTCAGCTGCTGCGTCGCAATACCCGGACGTCCTCATTGTACTCCAGAGTCTTTCTGACCTGCCTTGCAGTTTTGGTCAACGAGCGAAAAGCGTAGATCTAAAGAGAAGCCCCAGGATGCAGGAGAAAAGGCAAGGCTCCCGGGGCCTGTGCAGACCGCTGGGGGCTCGCAGGAGACTAAACAAGTGTCAGGCGGCCAGAAGAAACGGGGATCTCCGCGACAGAGCCATGTAAAGGGTGTCCAAGGATCTAAATCGAGGATGCCTGTGGCCTCCGCAGCCCCGGGAGCTGTCGGCACCCACACAGGGGAGACAGTGGGACTGCTCAGCAGGGTTCTAGCCAGGCTGACAGAGCTACTCACCTCCCCTATGCACAGCCCCATCACCTCCTCCTTCTCTGTGCTCAGAGCGTGGTTGAGACAAACGAGGAAAGCGTCAGACTCAAGATGAACCGCCTGCACCGCCTGCACCACCTGCACCGCCATCTTGGCCCGACCCTTCTCACGTCCGCCTCGGGCCCACTTGGTTCTGACCAACCGGGTGCTGCGGCGCAGCCTCCCCAGCGCCCGCGCCCTGCGCTCCGCCCAGGCCTGGCCTTCGGCGCGCGGGTTCCTTGGGGGCGGGGCTTAGGGAGCGGGCGGGGCTGAGGGGGCGGGGCTGAGGGGGCGAGGAGGGGGCAGCGGGCGCGAGGCTGGCGCGCGGGGGCGGGCCTCGGGGCGCGGGGGCGGGGCCCCCCCAGCAGCACCTGGGAAACGCCCGCGAGGGTTCGGGCAGGCGTGGCCGTCGGGGCGGAGGGCGGTGGCCGGCCGCGGTCCGGGCTTCAGGCCGGGCGGCGGGGGTGGCAGGGAGGCGGCGCTCTGGGGCCGCAGGCGGGCGTACTCTGAGCGGCGCCCGGGCGCCTGGGCAGGCGCCTCGCGAGTACCGGCGCCCATTTTGCCCGCCCGCTAAGGAGACCCGTGCGCGGCCTACACGCTTGGGGGACAGCCCTTTACGACGACATCTCCGCGAACGCCGGCCTCTTGAGCCAGGGGGACGCTCTTTTGAAAGTCAGTCCCCAAACAGTTAAGGTTTTATTTTATTTTGTTTTATTTCCAAGTCACAGCCCCCGAATCTCGTACAACTCTCCCTGGACCACTTCCGGTTGCCGGCCCGTGCCTCTAACTTCGGTTCGAGTGACCTCGGCCCGGGATGCCCCTCGGCTCACCCCGGGCTCACGTCGCGTTCCTGGCTTGAGTGGCCCAGGGTGGGAGACCTGGAAGTTTTAGCCTAGCTGTTCTCAAGGCGGATTAATTAGCCCAAGAAACATTATATTCATGTGAGTAACCTTTTGCAGAAACAGTGTTATACTGTATCTGAAAAAGTATCACTCTTAAGCTTGGCTGCTGCTACTTTCTACAAAGGCTTTTAGGTAGCTATTTGTTGGATACAGGGAAGGGGAATTGGAGGACTTCAGTGTTTATTCAAGTTCGGATGTATCACTTTAGGTATCCAGAATGCAAGTTTCCTCGGGTCTCCTTGTCTGCATATCAGACAGTAATTTTATTTCGAGGTATGTCAAACGTGCCAAGGATAAAAGTACAGATCTTCCAACTCACAAGTCTAGGAATCACACGTGGATTTTGGAAGCGACTCTAAATCAAAGCACAATATATGCCGTGCCGCCTCCACAGCCCGTCCGTGTTCGTTTCTTTGATTTGGTTTTCTACTTTGTGTAGTTTTGAAGCCAGGCAGGTATGGCAGTACTGGAAAGGGAACATTGCCAAGGTGCTACTTGAAGTGTTGATGCTTTGCTCTTTTCTCCCAATTCAGTTCCAACCCAAGTCTCCCCACACATAGGGCCCCCATCCAGTGCAATTATCTGTTATGTGCACACCAGCAGGCTCTGTCTTTACCTAAAGATTTCTAAGGATCAGATGGCACATCTTTCTATAATTAATTTGATCATGATGAAGGTTGAAAAGTTTTCATGTGCAATTACGTTGGACCCATCCAAATTTTCCCTGGTTTCAATTTTATACCACATATCATTTTCAATTACTGTTTGTGTCTACTATGCCCCATCCTGATGAAGCAGGAACGGCTGTTCTTCTCATTATTATATTAATATTTGGTTATGGCATATAGTGCCTTTAGGCACTTTCAGGAAGAAAAATACCTTTTGTTTGTTATTGGTGGTAGTCAGTCTCATATTCCAGAATGAGGTTCACTAACTTTTCTAATGGTCATGGCTGCCTTTTACAGCTGCAGGCATTTAAAGTTGAACAAAATTATTAACATTTATGGCAAGCTTATTATAAGCTACTTACTAAGCATTTATATGCCTGGTACATGTAATCTGCCCCAGTTAGAATCAAGCTCAACAACTTCCCCACTGTGTGACCTTGAGCAAGTTACCTAACTTCTCTGTGCCTTACTTTTCCTCACCTTTAAGTGGGGATGATAATAATACAGCCTACCTCATAGTGCCCTATGAAGACTGTGAAAATTAAATGAGTCAATATATGTAAGTATATAGGAAATGCTAAAGACTATCGTGACTAATGTGTTCTTTAATTCTCATTTTACACCTCAGGAAACTGAGGTAGAGAACATTAACTTATCCAAGGTTACAAAGCTAGTAAGTAGCAGACTCAGGATTCATACACAGGCCTGGGCCTGTGTTCTTGGTAATTTCACTCATTGTAATTGGACAAGTTTATTAATTGACTTCTAATAAAATAAGTGTATTCAACTGATCAATGTTCAAAAACTGTTCATCAACCTGGCAATTAAAGCGAACAATACTTTTTTTAAAAACACAAAAGAATTTATTCTGTAAAGGAAAAATGATAGTTTTACTTAGATTACTACCTAAGGAAGCCCTTCTATCTTATACGTCATCCATTTAGAACCTAATTTACAAAATGCCTTACTAAGAAATTGTCTGTCTTGGCTACTGTGCTCTCTGGCCCTGAAATCAAGGTGACCCTCATGGGACAATCTCTTCTAGTGGATGATAAAGTTATGCAGTTATCTAAACATTTTTGAAATTCATTTGTATTTGCAGCTGGCAGTATTCTTTGAGTTGAGTTGCACAAGTTTATATTCCATATATTGTATTGCACCTTGTACCTAATTCTATGTTGAGGTTTTAAAAGATGATTTGTCTTAGTTCCAGAAGTCCTGAATTTTGTAAACAAGTGTCATGTGCAAATAAATAAAATGTTCTCTAGTCAAATAAATTTGGGAAATGTTAACATAAAGTTTCTTTACCGCATACCTTGCCAGAACGGTTACTACACTAATGTACTTTATGACTCTCCAAGATTCCCAAACTTATTTGACCAAGGAAAATGCTGAGAGCAAGTTTTCTAAGAATCATATTATGAAACCTGTGATTTTATAGGCTTTGATCAGAATCCCTCTCCCTCAGCCCTTGCTTTCTTTGTGCTGAGGATGTTGTTAGTTTGTGCTCATATAGTGGCTTCTCTGTCACTTAATCACTGCAGTTGCCTTTCTCTGGGCCTACATGCCCTCAGAATGGTAGCACACACAAATCCAGGATAATGTGCTGAGGGGTTGTTCCCAGGCTCATCCTGCTGATGCCCAGCATGTTGACCTTTGGGTCACAGCAGCACATCACACTGCCTTTCTTCTGAGAATATTTTGTAGTGACTCCATAGGCATCTTTGTAGTGACTCCGTAACTCAGACCATCATCTCCAGTCTCTTTGCCCCCTATTCCACTGGCATTATTTCCTTTTAATGTCAGTATAACCAAGACAATTTTGTTCTCCATTCAAAACAAATTTAAATGTCAACATTTTGGTTGTTGCTAGGACTTATGTATGAAATTGAGATGGTACTGAAACCCTTAACACATGGTTTCCACTTTTTAAAAACAATTATTGGCCACACTTAAATCTTTTGTGCTTGAAATCCAAGCTTTTGTATTATATTATTTTGACATTAGTATTTATCTGGTTTTTATTTGTATTTCTCTTTTCCAAACCTTTGGGAAGAAGTAGAGGCAAAACAGCTGTATTTGCTAAATGGGTAGAAGGGGGGCTTTGGCAAAAAAATATGTATAAATTATAAATTATATATAGCTAGAGACTTATGCCTAGAGAATCAATCTCTACCCACCTATACATAGCCAATCATGACTACCACTGTGGCCTTCCTTTGTTTCCCTTCCCTGCCCACCATATATATACACCTGTTCACAAAAACATTTCTTGACCAGTATATGAGCTTGGGGTGCCCAGAACTGTATCATTCCTGCTACTGAGCAATATACAATACTGTGCTTTAGGGAAGACAGGACTTGTGAAATAAGCAAAGCAAATGTGTAAGGTGATTTTGTTTAAATATAAATGTTACAGTAGTCATAAGAGGCAAGAATTTTCTTAAGTTTCATAAAGGAGGCAGGCACCTGGACTCTGTTATAATAGCACTAAGATAGGCAGAGAGGCCCCGGGAGGCATTTTAGGCAAGTGGAAAGCAAGAGCAAGGGTATGGAGCTAGAAATGAGCCTGGTATTTGGGGAAAGTTTGTCTCAACTGCAGTGGTAGTTGTAGTGCCTAATGGAATTGGTGACATATAGGATGTAGCAACTGAATAAGAGGAAGAAATCCAAGATAACTCATAAGTTTTGAGTCTGCAGGATCAGGAATGGTGGTATTGCCACTCAGAGAAATCAGGGTTTGGTTAAGGAGAAAGTTTAGAAGAGTTTGAAATGAGAGAGTTCATATGCATGAAAACTAACATAGGAGCTTACACCAGGCTCAGAGTCGGATGCACTCAGGGTTTAATGGGTGAAGCATCTGGTTGCTCTTGACAGTCTCATTTTGAGGACTCTAACAACCACTCTCCCATGCTGCATTTCCTTTCCCACCTAATGGCCACCTAATGGGAATAGGAGGTCTTTGTTTTGTGGGGCAGCTCCCCCCAGTGCCATATCTATGCTGTGGCCAAAGGTAGAAATACGGTACAACTGCGCCTTAATGCTAAAAGGTTCACTCATGCAAAATGCACATCAAGTTATCGTGAGGTCCTGAAATTAGATCTGGGGCTTTGGCAGAGGATCGTTATATTTTGCCCTACCACTCATGCTTTGGGAGATATGCTTCCTTTACACCTCTCAAATGTGCTTCTGGTCTTCTAGCTTAGGAGATCAAAATTTAAACTGAGTCCTCTATGGAAAAATGGGCTCCTGTAACATCCTGCAAAATTATTAAAAGAAAACAAGGACCTAGCTGGATAACTCATTTGCAGTCACTCAGCTCCAGATCACCATGATCCCCAAAGTCTCTTGCAGGTCAGAAATTCCATGAAGCTACCTTACTTTTTGTAGCAAGAAAATCCCCTTCTAGAAATGCCCATCACTGTATATAAACTTTCTTAGTAAACTGGTAAATAGATCCTTTGCCCTTAAAACAAACACTTTCTATATCAACTCTGAAAGCCTTGCATATATGTCCTTTAGAATCTTACCTTTTAAAATGGAAACTGCTTGGAAGTGGCTTTTACCTGAGGAATGTGGCATGCATGTGTCTGTTATACTGCCTTCCTGCCAAAACAAGTGTCTCCTTAGGCATGCTCTTTGCATATTCTATTGCTAACTATATTTTGCCAGACACCGCTTGTGAATGCAGTATGTATGAGACCACTGCCCAGCTTCCTGTAGTGCTAGTCCTACATATCCACAGAACTCCTCACCTAGCCAAATTCTTGAGCGCTTTGCAGTCAGCAGCACTACCTGAGGCTCTGCTTAATGTCACTTTAGTTGTCTTGCAGAAAGCTTCAGATGTCCTTGGTTCTATGTAGGTTGTGCAAAAAGACATATATGAGGTTTGGTTCTGGTTGGTGGTTGCTAGTACCAAGTCACCTTGCTTACTGGTGAGTTCATTCAAACCCAGAAAGTCACACCTGTGTCCTGTGCGCGGGTGCTGCAGGCTTAGGTGGAGAAAAGCAGGGCTAGAATTGGAACCCAAAGCCCAGAATGGCAGGAGAGGATGTGGGGGCTCCACCCGATCACCTCTGGGTTCACCAAGAGGGTATCTACCGCGACGAATACCAGCGCACGTGGGTGGCCGTCGTGGAAGAGGTAACTGTTTACATTTTGCTTATTTCTTTGATTTTGCTTTCAAGTAACTTGGTTTCTATTCCAGTCTCAATATTCTGAAGTCTTTGGTTTTATTTTTGGTCATTCCTTTCCATTAGGAGACGAGTTTCCTAAGGGCACGAGTCCAGCAAATTCAGGTTCCCTTAGGTGACGCAGCTAGGCCAAGTCACCTTCTTACCTCCCAGCTACCTCTCATGTGGCAACTCTACCCGGAGGAGCGCTACATGGATAACAACTCTCGCTTGTGGCAGATACAGCATCATTTAATGGTACACATGTTGCTTAATTACTTTCCATTGTATTGGGACTCTCGTAACAGAGTACTCTATAAACTTTTCTTTTTCTGACAGGTCAGGGGAGTACAGGAGCTGTTGCTTAAGCTTTTGCCTGATGACTAACCTGGTATGTATTTCTATTTCTCCTCCATCTTCTCCCTCTTTGTTTTGACTCTATTCAGTTGTGGTGATTTTAATGATTTTTTTTTCCAGGTGCTGGGATTCTACGAAGATATGCTCCTTTGTTCTGTTCAGTATATGGCAATCACTTCATCCAGTACTGCAGTGCACCCACCCTTGGGCCTGGGGGGAGGGAGTGGGTTGAAAAACTGCTCAAGAACACAGAAGTTTAGGAAGGGTCATGAAGAATACTGCAAGTGAAACTGCAGAGAGAGGGTTACACAGGCAAAAAGCAAGTCAACAAAAGCACTTAGTCAGGATCCGTAACTTGAAATTGACTCCTTTGGAAATTGCCATAGAACCCTTAATGGACATCATCGGCTGGACCTGGGATCTGATGAATCCCACAAAAGTCAGCACCTTCTACAGAACAGATGCCCTGATCACCAAGGACTTGGTACTGATTTAGAGAGAAGAGAGCAGCTCCTAGCAGCATCAACATCTATTTGTCGCTTAGTTGCCCTGCAGCAATTCACCTGCCTTTCCTTCTCCCATCCTGTAAATATCCTAGGTTTTGCTCCAGTGTTTCCCATCCCAGTACTGACCTAATTTGGATCTACTGAGTATTTAGAGGGCTCTGAAAAGAGATAACGCATTGATGAAATTAGCTACAAAGGCATCTGGGCCTTTTTTCTATCTGAAATTGTGTCTTCAAATTATTGGAAGTTGCTGATCAAAATTGTGGGCTCTTAAATTCATTCTCTGATTACAGATATTTTTTAAAAGCTGGTTTCTATAAGAACTTCAAGAAAAACCATTTTAGCTGCTTAACTGGCACCTTTCTCAGGAAGTAATAGCACCAAATATTGCTGATTCCTAGGAAAACATTTACTACTTGTAAAGAATTTCCTGAGTTAAAGTCTCAACAGTTTATATACATTAAAAGTAAGGTTTTTACTTAAAGAAAAAAAAAGTCTTGGGAATAATAGCTACCATGTATTTAGTCCTTTCTGCCTTCCAGGCACTATTGTATGCACTTTATATACTTTATCACACTTAATCATCCTGTCAATGCTTTGAGGTAGGTATGGTTCCCACTTTATATATGAGTAATAAAAAAAAGCTCAAGGAGTTTAATCATTTATCAAGGGTTTCTTCTGCGAATGATAGAGCCAGGCTGTGCTGTTGGCTCCTTTAGCCTAATGTTGGTTTACAATATTCAAGAAGAGTTGATTGAATTCAAGGTTTTTTCCCCCATGTATATATCTTCCAAACCTAATGAAATGGATATGATAGAAATACAGTTGATTCATCCTATGTTTGGGAAGAGTATTTTTAGTGTAATTGTTTTCCAGCAATTGTAAGGGCATACTGCTTGTTTCAGAAGAAAATTCCATGTGGAGGGGTTTTAAAGTCTTTTTGGAAAAAAAGCAAAATAAAAATCATTTTTCTTGTTTTAGTTTTCTGGATATGCCACTGAAGGACCCGTGCCAGAAGCAAGCCTGTGAGATTCAGAAATGTTTACAAGGTAGTATATTGTTAAATGCTTTAAAACTATTTTTCCACTGTGAACTAACTATAAGAGACCAATCATTCTTTTATCTGTATTAACTCTTTTTTTTTTAAAAAAAAAAAAAAAAAGATGGGGTTTCACCATGATGGCCAGGCTGGCCTTGAATTCCTGACCTCAGGTGATCCACCCACCTCGGCCTCCCAAAGTGCTAGGATTACAGGCGTGAGCCACCTCGACCGGCCCTTAACTCTTTTTTAAGAATGTAACAATTATCCTGAAGATTTTCTTCATTGTATCATCAAAGATGCAGAAAATAAAAAGTAATGTGATCAAAGCTAGCGATTTTCACTCCTGGTCACATTGGCATCACCTGGAGATCTTAAAAACTTACCTAGAACAATTCACACTTCCTGGGGCTAGGGTCTGGCTGGGAATCAGTCTAGAAAGCTAACCAGATGACTTGAATGGACAGCCAGAGTTGAGAATTACTAAGCTAAGCAAAAGGGTTTTGTTTTTTGCTTTTTGTTTTTTTACTAAAAGGCTAGTTTAAAATTGGTTGGTTATGCTTCACTGCAGGTGACAATTCACTTTCTAAAAGCAATCTGGAAGAGGTGGGGTTGAAATAACAATTGTAATTCAGGCTGCCAAAGTCAGCAACTAACTCTTAAAGGCAGAAGTGAATCTCAACTAAAGCATATTTGAGGTGATTCATGCATTTGTCCAGCTGCTAAGTTTGACCAAATGTTGGAGGATTTCAGTTTTCTAATCAGTGAATGATTATTGCCAGAAGAGCAAATAGAAAAAGCAATAAGGCTATCTGAATTTGAAACCTTTTTTAATAAGTTTTCCTCATTAGTAAAGTAATAGATAGAGATGCGTGGTCATGTTCAAAGTTCCCCCAAAGATTCACCATCAAAGAAATACTTTGTGTATTTTCTTGGACTTTTAGCTTTCATTCTTGGACTTACCTTTTTTTTTTTTGATGTAAGCAATATTTTATAAAATTTTTTAAATTCAAATGTTGATGTATAATAATGCCATTTTCGTCATACTTTTCTTCCCTCCCTCCGACTTTAAGGAAAGGGAAAATGTTTTTTTGCATTTAATTCATTCTCCCACATAAATCCTTACCTTGTTTGAAGTAACCCATGGCTAAGGGGAAAAATCACATTAAAAAGAGCTAGTGACACCCCCTTGGCACACTGTGGGAGGATTGAGAGCTGGAAAGACTAAAAGAGTTAGCGTTAAGCACTCACTAAATGACAAACACCATGATAAGGACTTTACATGTAAAGTCCATGAGGTAGATGCTACTATGACCCCCACTTCATAGATGGGAAAACAAACACATAAGTTATGTAATTTGACTAGGGTCACATAGCTAGTAAATATGGTGGGAATTAGAACATCCCCCCAAACCCACCCTTGGTCTAGCTCCAAATCTGGACTGTTAGCCACCTTGCTAATCAGAATTGTCCTTCCTATCCTGAGCTAACTACCATGTATCCCATTTTAGTGCTGGGAGGCTCATTAGATTATCAGCTGACCTAGAGCCTTTAGGTCAGGTCCTCCTTAACTTAGTGTTTATGTATAGTAGAGGTCTACAAATGTTTTATGAAGAAGGCCAAACAAGTAGTATTTTAGGCTTTGGAGGCTAAAGGTCTTTGTTGTATGTATTGTATATGTGTTGTGTGTTTACAACCCTCTAAAAATCTAAAATCCATTCTTAGCTCCCAGCTGTAAAAACGGGCTGAATTTGACCCTCATGGGCTGCAGTTTCCCAATTCCTGATGCACAGCCTTGGTAGAGGAGGTCCAGCAATCAGCTTAAACTGTATGCAAAATAAGGTGTGGTATATATGCAGTTTCCTAATTCATCAAATTAGTGACCGTAATAATAATGATGTTAAAAACCAATATCCTAGAAAAAGGTGCATGTATGCTGTTATCCGTAAAGGAAATTAAAATAGCTTTCAACCACTTTGAAATCATACTTTTCTTCCTAATGAACCTGTTGACAGGTCTCTAAATTAGAAAGAATTTAGTCGACTTTGGTGTATATTCCTTCTTCCAGTTCCATAGGTATTGAAAGTTAAAGGGAGTGGGAAGCACTGATCTAAACTTCCCTTTACCTATGAGATCATGACTAGAGTCTGCCTGTATGTTTTTCAGCCAACAACTACATGGAATCAAAATGTCAGGCTGTCATCCAAGAACTGCGTAAGTGTTGTGCTCAGTATCCCAAGGGAAGATCTGTCGTCTGTTCAGGATTTGAAAAAGAAGAGGAAGAAAACCTAACACTGAAGTCTGCATTGAAGTAAAGTTCTGCTGAAGTGCTGCTCCATGTTTCTACTGAATGATTTTTTTTTTAAATCTTCCTGTCTTTCTTCAGGCCAGGTAGCAGCAAATAGCAAATGAAAAAGTCAGCTATAAAAGTTAATGAATATGCCATCTATGCAGAACAGACAGAAATTTAAACAACACATTCAAAGACAAATATGTACAATGTAATAAACTGAGCTGCTAAAATAAACCTGTTGAAGAGAAAAATTTTGGTTTTGAACTAAATGTATTTTAAGACTATTACATTTAGGGTATTAATGAATTATCTTTGAGATCAGATCACTTGTGCCATTCATCAAACTTAAGTCATACGAGGTACGTTAGGTGAAAGGACTCTCTTCCAGCATCACAGTTTTGACACCTTTTATAGATAACATGTTAAATTAATGCAAAGTTGCCTTTAAACGAACTCAGTACTTTTTGTGCTTCCAATAATGCAGAGCAAAAAGTGTCTTTCCGGATGCCAGTAAGAGCATTTCTTTCTGTTTTTGCATCCCCACTGGAGTGACTAACCAGAAGTGCTTAATATTCATTCACTTAGTGGTAGGAAAGGCATAGAAATGATTCTTGTAATGTTTAATGATTCTTAATGTATCATCAAGGAACTGAAGAAAAAATTTTCATCGGAAGTCAGGTAGGCAACAAGATAATTCAAACTCTTAGTTGGTTTATCTATTCTTTATATCCTGATAATAACAAAACCTGTTACAGAGGATCCAGACAACATTAATACAAAGCTGCTGAATGAAGCCTGTTGACAGTTGTCAGTCACTTTATGTAGTAGGAGGAGGCAGCATGCAACAGGCCATTTGCTTTCCTCAAATGGCTCAAATGCTTTCCTCAAAGAGGCCCAGCCAGTCCATCCATCAAATGGATGCTTGAACCACCAGAGCCCCTCCTCTAAAAAAATGATGACTAAAAGCAGGAACAGTTTCTGCTAGGTCCCTGATATTGAAATGCCATGATTATTTGAGACCAACTGTTTTCCTTAAAGCAGCACTCCCCAGAGTGTTTCTAGGAATTGCTGTAACAGGAAGGAAAAAAAAGGGCTTCTGTGCTCAGGTAAGATTGGGGAATGCTAGGTTGCGTACAAGTAAACAGGTTAATTTCCTGCTAGACTTGAGAGCTTTCAAAAAGCCTAAGAAAACCTGTTTTGCAGACAGCATCTCTCTGTGAATGCTCTCCAGAGACACTTAGAGAAATGCTGCCTTAGAGACATTTGGTCAACAAACCAGAGTAACAGTGCTAAATCCCCATGAAATCATTTAAATGGAGTCTTGTGTCAGTGATAAAATAATAAAACATTTTACATTTTTAATGTTACATCATCTACAAATCTAAATTACATTTAAAATTATCAGTTGACAGTCCTACTGGGATTTACATTAGGAATCACTACATGATCAAATAGATTGTTTTCTGTGTTTTATTGTTAAGTTATGTTTACTGAGCTAACTACTCCAATTTCAGACTCTTTTAAATGTTTTTTTGCTAAAGCATATGTATTAGTCCATTGTTGCATTGCTATAAAGAAATACCTGAGACCGGGTAATTTATAAAGAAAAGAGGTTTAGTTGGCTCACAGTTCCATGGGCTGTACAGGAAGCATGGCACTGCATCTGATGGGCTTCTAGGGAGGCCTCAACAAACTCAGTTATGGCAGAAGGCACAAGGGGAGTGAACACTCCACATGTCCAAAGCAGGAGCAAGAAAGAGTGGTGGGTGAAGTACCACATACTTTTAAATGACCAGATCTCATGAGAACTCTGTATCATGAGTAAAGTACCAAGAGGGGATGGTGCTAAACCATTCATGAGAAACCCACCCTGGTGATCCAAACACCTCCCACCAGGCTCCACCTCCATTAGAGAATACAGTTCACCATGAGATTTGGTGGGGACATAGTCCAAACTGTATCAGTATAGTACTTTCAGTTTTGAAAGGTTCATATCAGTTCCTTCCTTTAAACGATTCTGTCTCAGTTTTTTAAGTCAACAAATCTATTGGAAGACATTGATTTAACGCTTATTCTTCTTAGCTATTATTATGACATATATAAAAATAGCCATCATAGAAGGCTTAACATTTACAGAGTGCTTCTTATTGTTAGGGACTGAGATTAACACTGAATCTCAGTCTTAAGAAAAGAACTCTAAGAAGGTGAGAACTATGATCTCCCATTTTGGAAAAAAAAAACCCTTTAATCTGGCTATTAGTGATGCTAAGTTTAGTCACTTGGTTAGTGACTGACCTTTTAGCTAGAAAGGTGGTTTTCCCTTTGTAATGGTTATTTGTGGGGTAGTATCTTGTCACCGTATGAATATCACGTTACCCCACAACTTTTCACCCAGTGTTTTAGCATCCACTGACAACAAAAGCCCTTGCTCTTCCACTTTGCCACAATGAAAATAATAAAGAAGGAAACATGATATTAATTTTTGAGAACAATAAACATTGCAACCCCATAATACTTACCAACATGTGAGGGCCAAACAGTTATATGCGGATGGGAATGATACCAGCCCACGACTCTCATGGGGCGACCTGTCAGTTCAGCCAACCTGTGTGTCTGTCAAGGTACTTTCAAAATGTGGGAACAAAATTTCTCATGCTAATAAGGGCTCAGAAAGCACCCTGAAGTTTAAATAAACTCACTGCAATTTAATGGCAACAAAAGGATGAAAGAAGGTTCATGCTGAGTTTCCTATAATGCCCATTTAAAGCCAAAAAAAGTTAAAATAGAATCTATAGTTATCCTGTAAAATGTGGATTCGTTTTTCTGAAAATTACTTATATTAAAACATAATAATCCTTTTTATGCAACTAAGTCTGAGAAACAATATTTCTAGGATATATTTTCAAGTTTTCAAATGCCCAGAGAAACTACTTTCCTTGCATTCACTCCACACGATTACTAAAACATTTAATGAACAATATCACACTTGTGTTCAGTATCCAGAAGGCATCTGAAGTTGTATGGCACTTAATTTAAAAGGCTTTAAAGCCCTGTTAAGGAGTTAACAGCAGAACTCTTAATTTTTTCAACACCAGCTTCCAACTCTGTACTTCAGTGGTTCTCAGTCTCAGCTGCTCATTAGAAAAATCTTAAGACACTTTAAAACCTCAGGATGCCTTAACACCACGCCAGACCAGTGAAATCAGAATTTCTAGGATGAGAGTCAGGCACTAGTAGTTTTTTAAATTTCACAGGTGATCCCCAAGTGCAAGCAAGGATGAAAACCACTGCTCTCCATAATCCTGTCATTTCTTACCATTTAAAATTTTAAAAGTTTTGACAAGTCAATAAGCTGACTTTAAAGCTTTATAAAAATGTGAAAAAGTGAGGCCGGGCGCGGTGGCTCACGCCTGTAATCCTAGCACTTTGGGAGGCTGAGGCGGGCGGATCACGAGGTCAAGAGATCGAGACAATCCTGGCCATGGTGAAACCCTGTCGCTACTAAAAATACAAAAATTAGCTGGGCGTGGTGGCACGCGCCTGTGGTCCCGGCTACTCGGGCGGAAGAATCACTTGAACCCAGGAGATGGAGGTTGCAGTGAGATGAGACTGCGCCACTGCACTCCAGCCTGGCAACAGAGTAAGACTCCGTCTCAAAAAGAAAAAAATGTGAAAAAGTGAAACACTGTTTTCTTTAAAAAATGTATTAAGATTAATGATCCCTTAAAAAGAAGGCAAACATCAGAAATATAAGCCACACCGTATGACTTCTGGAAAAATCAGGCTCAGAGCTAAACTAGGTTTTCTGTCCAATTACTTAAATGTTAGTGTGATGTCTTAGAGTCGGGCAGAAAGTGTATTTTAGTTCTGGGCCTGATTTCCCAGAAATCATACTGGATTTCATGACAGAAATGAAGCTGATAATTTGGTGGAGGGACCACAGGGCAGCAGTCAAATTTTCCTACAGGGTCCAAAACTGGCTGTGAGCTTCCCTCTGAGAAGAAATTGAGATCATCATTAAACATTGATGATACTCAGAAATTTCAAATCCATCCGTATACCATTTTTTCACGCAGAGTTTTATTTTGCATTTTCCCAAACTGTACAAAAGTAGAGTTTCCAAATAAGAGCCCAGCCATTAGTTATGCCCATGTTTCTGACAAATATCAAACAAAAGGATGACGGAGAGACTATTCTTAGAATAGTTAACTACACAGTAACTGCTTTCCAAAACCAGAAGCACCCACCCCAAGAGCATGTCGGCTAGAATTATCTAAGAGTTCATTCCTTGTAGAATCTGGTCCTCCAACTTGAATCATCTTCTGCCAGCATCCATGAGACAGTAACTGCCCAGATCCAGTAGCAAGGACTGTCACCCCAGTGGTGCGGGAGTCAAGACCTCCACTGTCCTGTTAATGCTGAGTGGCGGGAGATTACAGCAAACAAGCAGCCATTTCGGAGGAGAGTGATGTTAACATATTATAATGACAACACTCATGACAATGGGCTGCTCAGGCAAGGGTCCTCAACACCACATCCCTCCCCCGACCCAGCTCCTGTGTCAGCAATGAGGATACACATCCTTGAGGGAGACTGAAACATTGGACTCCATCTGCTGAGCCCCAGCAGGCAGCCACCAGAAAGTGCCCCTGGATCAGTCTCTGCTGTCCGACTCTGGGGAGAACTTTGGGAAGAGATTCAAACGTTCTACCTCTCCTGTACCATGCTCTAAGTCCCCATCCCACCAGGTCCCATTGCGGGAGAGACGCTGGGCCAAAAGGTGGGTCAAAGTGGTGAGGATGCAGGGCGGACCCATAGTAGCGAGGAAGGGGACAGAAAGGGTCCCTGGGGCGGGACGCTGTCCACCCCGCTGCAGGGTACAGGAAGGGGGGCTTTCACTACGTAGATGGCATCCTATTGGTTGACAACTTGGAATCCTTTAGTGCGGTGTTACCACGTTGCCACCACCAGGGGCGACGAAACCCGAACACATTCCAAGTAAAGTTTCTCTGGATCATACACAGTGACAACACTCTTCCAAAGGAAAAACTTCCACCCCACCACCACTAAATAGGAAGTTCAGAACGTTATTGAACTTTGCTACTGGAGAAAATACGTGCCTAGCTAAGCAGGCCTCTCCAGTCAAATGAAAATAGTGCATTGAAAGGTGGAGTTGCCTGGTCCTGGAATCATCACGGTTTTGCATGGAGGAACGGCAGCTGTTCTTTTGGGGTAAACCTTAACTCCAACT